GATGGATGGATGGATGGATGGATGGATGGATGGATGGATGGATGGATGGATGGATGGATGGATGGATGGATGGGTGGGTGGGTGGGTGGATGGATGGGTGGATGGATGGATGGATGGATGGATGGATGGATGGATGGATGGATGGATGGATGGATGGATGGATGGATGGATGGCCGGATGGCCGGATGGCCGGATGGCCGGATGGCCGGCTGACCGGCTGACCGGCTGACCGGCTGACTTACTGACTGACTGACTTACTCTGCACAGCTCTAGAAATATTGCCTTGCAAATCATGTTAATGTGATTTTCCATAGATAATATTCTGTCTAATTAGACACCCAGGTTTTGCACTGTTTGATCAAACTCAATCTGTATACCCAAGAAAGTAAGGGATGGTGTGTTATGTATATATTTTAGCTTTTGAGCGGCAGCAAGGGGGGTCAGCTTAGTTTCATCGTCTTTTTGAGATGTTTATGCTCATTCAGTTCTTAACTGACACCATTGGCTTCTGTGTCATACTAAGAAGCTGAGGGACCTTAGAGGGTATCACGGATTGCTGAAGTTGTCAGATACGAGCGGAACCATCTCAGGACGATATCGGTGAGACCGAACGTTTTTTTGCAGACTTTGGACAAATATGCCGTGGTCAAGCGTATCGAACGAATGCTGCCGATAGATCAAGTGACGACCAGAGGGATACCCTGCCCTCACCACAAGATGACAGAAGGTCATTTATGACGCGCAAATGAGCTGTAAAATTAGACCATGTGCCCAGATTGCTGACTGGAAAGGCTGAAACAAGTCACTCTGAGTGAGGTGGTTCAGGGGCTGGTGCAGAACGTTTTTCTCTAACATTTGGAAACAAATGGTAGATTTGAGATGGGGCGATAATTTTCAAACACATTTTGTTCCAGATTTACTTTCTTTAGCAGTGGAGTTACAGCCGCATCTTTAAAAGAGGATGGAACAATACTAGTTTTCAAATACTGATTTATGATGCTAGTTAAGATAGGGACTATTTCATCCAAACATTAACAGCCTTGCCGGAAGAGGGTCGAGCAAACAAGATTTTTTCGGGTTTTAAACCCGGATTATCTTCACATGTGATTCAGTGACCTCCAAAATTTCGCTCATAGGAATGCGTTAAAAGGCAAGAATTCGGGAGCATCGCTGCAAATTTCTCACCTTGATCTTCGTAACTTTCTTAAAAAAGAAATTATTTAGAGCGTCTGGCAGCTAGCCTATATAGGGCAATGTTATTTTGCAAAGATGTGTTTTGTTTACCGGTCAGTTAACCCACATTAGCGTATTTGAGCCACAATCTACAATACTGTGTCCGATATATTCAGTCCTAGCTGCTAGGACCAACTTCTTAGTTCGTCCCTTTTAATCAACTAAAATTTGTCAGTGAACGGTCAAACCAGACTTCCGCCATTTGCGTTCTGCACTTCACTGCTTCTGATTTGGGTTCTTTATTTTGGGCGTGAGCCATGTGGCGGAAGGGCGGTCCGAAACGCACCGTGTGGACAGTGGTGCATGTTTATCTAAAATGACTCTGAGGCCACTGGTGTAGTCTGTAACAGGGTCTTTTTCACTGCACCTGAGGACAGTGACTTCACATCTGAAGGCCACTAGATAAATCTTTCGGAGGTCACGAGATGTGAGTGTGCGCAGAAGTCGCCCTGGCTTCCTCGAATCAAAGTCAAAGGCTACTGTGAAGTGACCAGAGATCAGTTTGTTTCCAAAATTGAAGAAATCGGCAGCTGATATGGCATCAGTGTTTGGAGAAACGTATGTCTTTAAGCAAACATTTTATACAAGAGGTATATGAAGTAAACCCATCGAACGAGATTGACTGCTGAAAATTTGAAAGCAATTCTTTCGATTGGATTCAGCCAATTCCAAACCAAACATTGATGATATCTTGAAAGCCAAAAGTCAGTTTCACAAATCTCCCCAAAATTTTTTGCTTCTCAGTTTGTGGGATTCGAATATGTGCACTAAGTCAGATGTAACTCTCTTTTTGATGACGTCGATAACTTTTTTATGTAAATAAATATATTGGTTGTCTTTGTTGTTGTTTTATTTTATTTATTTTTTTGTATAGCACGCCACTAACCCATGATTAGCATGGAATAATAAACTTAGTTTTTCGTCTTTTTGCCCCCAAAGCTTTCGTTCTGGGTTGAAAATTTTGTACAGAATGATAATGCGGCCCACGCTTGACGTTTTACCAGTTATCTGATCCGCTGTGAAAAAAACGTTAGTGACCCCTAGGTTATTTAATGTTGTTAAAGTTTAAAAGTTGTAGGATCCAAAAAAAATTTTTAATTCCATAGAATTTAGCCATTAAATGTTCAAATTTTTAGACAACTCTAGATTTGATAGTATTAATTTAAATCCATTGACATTTCACCAGAATTATGAAGAGAGTTGCTACCAAGCTATAAAGGGCTTAAAATAGGACCTAAAGTATTATCTAACCCTATTGGAGTTTACATTGCTTATATCAAGATAAAATGAAATTTGCCCCCCCCCCCAGCCCCAAAGCAATGGGTATTATGAGTTTAGTTTCCTTCGAAATGTTATGATGAATAATTAAATGCATGTGTAACACGTTTGGTCAAGATTCATTCATTCATGTAGGAATATTTGTTGGTAATTCTATTTATGTACCTTAGGTTTGAAAAAAAAAATTGATTTTAGATTGCCCTCTGCTTAATTTATTAAGTACACGGTTTCTGTTTGAATGTGGGGCCACTGTTGAGCCTCAAAATACAGAAGATCCAGATGTTTTTTTCTTAATCAGTAGGGCCGGGCGTGCGCGCAAGCAACTTTACGGCAGGAATTGGGGCGCAAGCAACCATAGGGCCGGACCTGGGTCGCAAGCAACCGTAGGACCGGACCTGGGGCGCTGCAACCATAGGGCCGGACCTGGGGGCAAAGGAGATAATTATTTCCATGCATTTTAAAATGCGAGTACACAAATTTTTAATTAAACATAAACATTTTTTTAAAATTTCAAACTGTAACCTATGTTTGAAAACGGAACAAGTTGTGTAACTAAGAAGGATGAAAAAGGGTTAACCGCAACGTTGTCACTTTTGTAAGTGATAATTTCCAAAAATTTATTAAAGATTATTCAAGGTGTTGAGGGAATACCAACGTTATCTTAGTTCAGTTGCGTGCAAAATTGTTTGGTGACGCATCTGGAGCAGTTACAATACGAGGTGGGAGATGGGTGGGTGGTTACCACAGAACAAGAACATAATGAGGGCTTAATTAAAGACTGCTCTTTTTTACTTCTCCTCAGAGCTCCCCCCCCCCTTAACAACAAACAAAAATAACTACAAACAACAATAAAAAAATAACAATCAATTAAAATGATAATTTGGATAAAATTAAACTCAAGTTCAAAACATCTTGCAAAGTTATTTTATTCATTTTAGAACATTCCATGCCACCCTTACTTCATTGGATGTGTTTTATTGGTACTTTATTGGTACTCATGATCATTATAAATAAAATTTAATCATTATAATCGTATTATAAATAAAGAATGTTTAGATTTTTAGTTCGTAATGAAGATGTTTCTTTTGAAAATGTTCAATGAATGTCATGTTTAATTTAAACCAGAATTATTTTACTGTTTTGTTATATTTTGTTATACTTCCCCTTGTTCCATATAGTGGTTTTCTTATTTATATTTTGTTATACTTCCCCTTGTTCCATATAGTGGTTTTCTTATTTATATTTTGTTATACTTCCCCTTGTTCCATATAGTGGTTTTCTTATTTATATTTTGTTATACATCCCCTTGTTCCATATAGTGGTTTTCTTATTTATATTTTGTTATACTTCCCCTTGTTCCATATAGTGGTTTTCTTATTTATATTTTGTTATACTTCCCCTTGTTCCATATAGTGGTTTTCTTATTTATATTTTGTTATACTTCCCCTTGTTCCATATAGTGGTTTTCTTATTTATATTTTGTTATACTTCCCCTTGTTCCATATAGTGGTTTTCTTATTTATATTTTGTTATACTTCCCCTTGTTCCATATAGTGGTTTTCTTATTTATATTTTGTTATACTTCAAATGCTCCCAGATGTTGTTTTTTTTTCATTTTATTTTATTTTGAATTTAATTCCTTGAAAGTGCGTTTTTGCTTAAGCTGATGAGATATACGCTACCAGGAGATGCTATCTTTTCCGTTGATCCAAACTGCCCCCAGCATCCAGCTGTACTATCTATGGGTTCACTGACCATTGGAAACCATTGATGTAACAGTGCAGACCAAAGCCGTGACCAGAAAGATGAGACCTGTTAAGACGTTTAAAGTAAATGTAATTAGATAAGTGTTCAATTGTCAACAATACATTTTTGAGCATTTTAGTGATCAAGTCAATGTAAGGAAGGTGAATGGATGCCACGGCACTATCTCATTAAAGCAGAGTCAATTCCTGGAACAATGTCAGCTATTAGAGAACCGCAATCAAATGAAAGGGAAACCAAAGTAATGCATTTGATAACTTTATCAAATAAATCCATTTTGCACTTTATCTTAGTGAACGAGGTTTTAGCATCGACATTTAACTTTAAGAGTTACTTGTTCTGGCACCATAATTCTTTATAAGATCGTGTGGACTCTAACATCCATTTCGTCCAATTTTCAACCTTGGCAAAGAATTCGAATAAAATGTTTTAACAGTAGAGGAACCACCCCACTCTCCCGATCCTTAAAACATAAACAATCATGCAATTAAATTCGCTTCGTATGTTTGAGGCATTTATTAAAATAGACAATGCTATATGTTATATCTCATAGTCAAAGTCACTCAAAGCCATTCTGGTAATCAACATAAGATATACAATACATACCAGGCATTCCGTTGTACCCGACATGTGAGCTCGTTCCTGTTAAGTAATCAATTTTTTTTTTTTTAAATTCTAACATAGATGCAGTTGAGAGTTAAAATCAATCATTTACTTCCTCAAACTATGATAGCCACTCCAGAATTTTGGAGAGGTAGGAAAGGAAAAAAATTATAACAGCCGTTTCATGTTAAAGAAAAGTAAATGGAATAATAAAAAGTACAATTAATAAAGACTGACGTGGTTTATTTAAATAACTTTAGTTACCTCCGTTTGTTGAAGCTGCCCGTGCACAAGAACTATTGGCTAAAAATTAAAAAAACAAGAATCTTTTTATTAAACATTTTAAACAGAGAAAATCACGTTCTGGAATTGATAAGGGTTAAAAGATCGGTCCTTTACTTAAGACCGTGTGGATGCTGCTTAAGTCAGCAAGATTTTATGGTTTCATTTTCACGGCTTTCGTCCTGCAATTATATGTCAAGACGTTTGCTTAATCAGGGCACGTGGAAATGGTTTATACAAACAGCATGTCTGCTTTACACTGTCAAAATCTCTCGGGAGCATAGGGAAGTCGTTAATTACAGTGATGCTATGTACCTTCAGCTTAGTGACAAGAATGAGAACCCTTGCTCTTAGACGCCATGTTTAGTTTGTTTAATACGATATTCAAAGTAAAACTGTGTTGTTTACCTCATCTTCCAATGTTTTTGACCGTGAGATAGGGTGAGGCGGTGCATGAATGTGGGAACTAGTCCGATCCATAGAGTTTCTGTACCGTTCCTGATTTGTTAAGTTTATTTTTAGATTTTCTGTCTCTGGTACGTGCATTATATCTGTATTCTTTTATTTTGGTTACGAGGCTTTAGTAGTAGCAGGCCCTAGCAATATGAAAGAGATCAATTATTTTGTTTATTTTCATGTCCGGGCTTACATTTAGGGCCGAGCCATCTGTCCACAAGAGATCTACTACAATCGTTTATTTTTAAAACCAATTACAATATCCGAAGTTTTAGTATCCACCCGTCTGTCCTGTATCCTACATGAGTGCCGCCATAGGGTCTTATCTTCTATGCTCTCTATGCTTTTATGGAAAGTTAGAAAGCATAGCAGATTATAGCAGTTTCGGGGCTAGAGAGCTACCTTGTTTTACGAAATAAGTTAAAGTAAAAGCCACAGACTCATCTCCAGAATCAAGGGCATAGTACTCTCTTTGCGGGGAGCCGAACTTCTACATTACATTCAACGGGCCATCACTCTGATGACTGATTTTAATGCTATTTGTTCAGTTCAGCAAGTTGAAGCATAAGCGTTAACCCAACTTTTTGAATGACATTCAACGATTCGAACGAAAACGACCATTGGACTAGTTGAACATATTGCCAACACAGCCACTAACGCAAATACCGCTCCAGTAGTAGTGGTGAGTACGCCTTCAGATTTAGAGAATGTCGGTTAACACAAAGGAGCGCTCATCGATCTTTAACAACTGGGATGCTCCTTATATCTTCGATGCTCTACAGCGAGTGTAGATCAGACTCAAAGCAAAAATAATTTAAGAACAATTGATCAGACAAATGTTTGGCGCACTTGCTCTCTCTTATTTTCAAGGACAAGCTAAAGAAGAAGAAGATGTGTGTTTGTTTTGACTGTGCACGGAATAGTGGTCTGTTCAAAGCTCTTGTTTACGTAAACGACTTTCAAAAGGGATGCAAACTTTTTGGTAACGTTTTCAACAGTAATGCAAGTTGTGAGGAGATGATCGTAACTTTACATAAAATTTAAATATAAACGAAAAATTGAACATTCTTTCATCAGAGTATACCTTCCATACGACATTTTCCATGTTCGTGAAAACGATGGTGTAGATTTTTTTTTTTTTTTTTAACTTTTGAATGGCTTATGACTTATGAAGTCGATTATATAATGACAGTCTTTGTATGCAGTTTCCGAAGGAGAGATGAGACTCATTTTAACCTTTAAAACTTTAACTCCCTAATACACTACTGTTCACCATCCTGAACGGGCATAAGCGATTATCTCTCACTCGTCAAGTTCGATTATGACAGCTTTCATGCTGCTTTGTAATATGTACTTTTAGCATCACCTTGATGGTCCGATAGGACTTGCATCCTCAAGATTATTATCAGTATAGCATTTACTTTGGAATAAGGCCTTCTATCATTCCCTTTACATCGGTTACACAGTTAAGGCACCGCTTACTGAGAGTGGGGAATATGCTGAACGGTTTAGCCCTCTCTAGGCCCTTTGTGATTTTTTTTTTCTCCCATTAAAAAAAAAACAACGCAAAACGCGCCATCAGAGATCTCAAATATAAAACATTGAGTTTCCAGTCCTGACTTACGCATGTGGTCTTCATTTGGCTGCCAGCGGTTAGCGTGCTAATCAATAAGGCCCGATCTAACATTTCGAGACCCTTTGCAAAAATTAACACATGCGGTTTTTTAAACGTCTTCAAAACAAATGAGAAATCTGTCTACTTATGGTACACCATGTTCATAGTCATGTAATCGCTAAAATCATAACCTTTTGTGATCAAATTCAGGGCAAACGGTTTATACGAGTATTTATTTTGAGCCGTTAAATTACACTTGAGGCGGATGATAATTGACGTCTCGTATTGACATCGGCATTGATCCGGTGGGATGTTTTGCAGAACAGTGCATTCGTCTTTCCCCAGGTTATATAAGGCACCCTTTATCTAAATCAAGAAAATACATGATTAAAAAAAAAACATCAACATTCGACCAATGTGTTTACACCAGAACCGAAAAAATAATGCATTTTTGTGCCCTGTATGACCTCTCAAGTTTAGCGCACTCCCCCCCCTCCCCCACCCTCTTTGATTGAATGGTGAATACTTAACCCCCGGTCAGCCCAGACGTAAAGAGAATGCCTAATAGCGCCCTCCCCCCCCCTCCCCCACCCTCTTTGATTGAATGGTGAATACTTAACCCCCGGTCCGCCCAACCGTAAAGTGAATGCTTAACAACCCCCCCCCCCCAAAGTCCCTCAACCCTTCCGAAGGGGGAGCACTAAAAGAATTTGAACATAAATGGAAATACGCTAAATTGCAAATAGCCACTTTAGTTATTAATTTTTTTTACAAACTTCTGTGGAATATATTTATAATAATTTGAAAGAATGAATATACCTATAGTTTGCCAGTTTGTACAGATTGCTAATGAGTTGTTAGGCTATTGAAATACAGCTTCCAATTTAAATGATCTGACATGAGTCTAATGCTCTCCTGCATTCAGTGTATTCTTACTTTTTTACTACATTTTGACAGTGTATTCTTACTTTTTTACTACATTTTGACAGTGTATTCTTACTTTTTTTACTACATTTTGACAGTGTATTCTTCCTTTTTTTACTACATTTTGACAGTGTATTCTTACTTTTTTTACTACATTTTTAACGGTGTATTCTTTCTTTTTTACTACATTTTGACAGTGTATTGTATTTTTTTTTTACTTTTTGTTGACAATCTATGGTTCCTCTTGGACTAACTATTAAAATATATTTTAATTTTGTACCTACTATTGACAGTGTATTGTTACTTTTGTTCTAACTGTTGACAATGTTTTGTTACTTTTTCGTACTAACTGCTGTTAGTGTATTGTTACTTTTGTACTGACTGTTGACTGCGTTCAAGACATAGAGCCTATAATTTAAAATATTCAAAATAGAACTAAAGTAATGGCAACTCTGCAAAATGGAAAAAACATAATTGTCTTGGCGACCTTCTACCGGGGCAGTCTCCCATATCGGCACCCGAATGGTACGGCTCTGACATGCACTAAAATTGAATCTATTTTTTTTATTTTTTTTATTTTTAACAACAAATCTTCATTTTACTTTTTCGTGGGTTAACAATAATTAATTTTTAATTTTTGCACTAAATTATTTTTTTAAAACATTCAACTACATGACTATGATGAGAGAAGAACAGACATGTGAATTCATTAAAATTAGAAACGTCACTTTTGAAAAGTCAAGCAAAATTCAAGTGTCTAGTATCTATTTCAAATAAAAGAAACAAATTATGAACAGAAATCAATGAAAGGGCATCAGCTGGATACAAGGAATATTTCAGTAGTATGAAAGTACTCATTTGTTAAGTCATTACAACAAAAAAAAACAAAGCAAAGTTATCTATATCACTGTAACCAGACCAGTTGTAACATGCACAAGTGGAACTTGGTCACTAGCAATAACGACAAAAAAACATTTTAATTAAGCACATGGGAGAGAAAAGTTATCCGAAAAATATATGGACCAAAAAAGGATGAATTTGGATGGACAATACCAATTAGGAATTGTATTGTTTATTTCAGGATCTCACTTTGCTGGCAGAAATTTAAAAATTAGGTTGGCTACGCTGGGCTGGCTTCGCTGGGCTGGATACGCTGGGCAGGCTACGCTGGGCAGGCTACGCTGGGCTGGCTACGCTGGGCTAGCTACGCTGGGTTGGCTACGCTGGGCTGGCTACGCTGGGCTGGCTACGCTGGTGGAACACTTGGAAACCAAATGACGGAGAAGTGGAGAGGGTACAACACCAATCATCATCATCCTCATCATCGCCTCTCGTTTCGTCTGGGGCACAGGCCACAAACAAGGCTCTCCGGGCATCCCGGTCTTGGCCAAGTCTCTCCAACTGTCCCCAGTTGTGCCCACTCTTTTTGGTGTCTGCCTTCAGTTCTCTTCTCCAAGTCGTTTTGGGTCGACCTCTTTTTCTCTTGCCCTGGGGGTTCCAAGTCAGGGCTTGTCTTGTGATACTTGATGCGGGCTTTCTCAGGGTGTAGCCAATCCATCTCCATCTGCGCTGGCAGATTAACTCTTCCATTGGTTCTTGTTGTGTGCACCGCCAGCGATCCTCGTTGGTGATGGCATGAGTCCAGCGGATTCGTAAAATCGTTTGAAGACATGAGTTGACAAACGTCTGTAGCTTTTTTGAACCAGCTGCTGTTGTTCGCATTGTTTCTGCTCCATATAACAAGACGGGTGTCACTGTGGTGTTGAATACCTTGACCTTGGTCTGGAGGGTCAAATTGCTGCAGCTCAAGACCTTTTTTAGCTGGTTAAATGTCGCTCTTGCCTTACCAACTCTAACACTTATGTCGGCGTCTGTCCCTCCTTGTATGTCAATAATGCTGCTGAGGTATGTCAAGCTATCCACCGCCTCAAGGTTTGTTCCTTCCAGTGCTAAAGGTGTGTTGCTTGATGTATTTATTTTAAGGACTTTGCTTTTTCCTCTATGGATGTTCAGGCCGATGCAAGCAGAGTACTGTGCTACATAAGTGGTTTTCTCTTGCATCTGTTGCTGTGTGTGTGATATTAGGGCCAGATCATCCGCAAAATCCAGGTCATCAAGCTTTTTCCATAATTTCCACTAGATACCTTTTCTCGTCTGCTCTGCGGACATTTTCATTATCCAATCAATGGTGAGCAGGAATAAGAAAGGCGAGAGCAGACACCCCTGTCTGACACCGGTCTGTACCCCAAAAGCCGCCGTTGTTTGTAGGCCGAGGACAATTCTGCACGATAGTCCTTCGTAAGAAGGCTTAATTATGTCTGTCAATTTTTGTGGTACCCCGTAGTGTCTAAGCAGCGTCCACAGAGTCTGTCTGTCGACACTATCAAAAGCCTTCTCATAGTCTATGAACTTGACGTATAGTGGCGAGTTCCACTCCAGAGATTGTTCCACAATAATTCTCAGTGTGGCAATCTGGTCTGTGCAGGACCTGTCTTTTCTGAACCCTGCTTGTTGGTCCCTAAGATTGGTGTCTATTACCTCCCTCATTCTGTTTAGCAGCATTCTGTTGAATACTTAGCTTGGGTATGGACAGCAGGGTTATTCCTTTATAGTTAGAACAAGAACTAAGGTCTCCTTTCTTCTGGAGCTTAATGAGTTGTCCTTCTTTCCATTCAATCGGTATCTGTTCTTCCTCCCATATTTTCTTGAATAGTGTGTGTAGCATTTCAGTGCTAGTCGTAATATTTGCTGTCAAGGCCTCTGTTTTTTCAACACCACCAATACCCTAGAGTAAAACGGCTAAAGAAACAATTGACAAAAAAAAGGCTGAAAGTCAGACCACGCTTAGACTTCTTACACGCTTTATTGTCCTCCACGCTTTGACGTGCTACACCCTTTGCCGTCCTACACGCTTTTCCGGTCTACACGCAATGCCGTCTTCTGATTTATAGGTACTGAATTGAAAATGGGCCATTGCCACGCTTGTCGTTCTTTTTGCAAAATAAATAACGACGCTCACCGGTAGACTGAGGCAAACCTTAACATCACCAACATGACAACCAGGCACAGCTGGAGACTTAGGCAAACCGTAACTGCAACCACATGACAACAAGGGCCAGCTGGAGACTGAGGTAAACCGTAACGCCAACCACATGACAACCAGGCACAGCTGGAGACTGAGGCAAACCGTAACACCAACCACATGACAACCACGCACAGCTTGAGACTGAGGCAAACCGTAACTGCAACCACATGACAACCAGGCACAGCTGGAGACTGAGGCAAACCGTAACTGCAACCACATGACAACAAGGGCCAGCTGGAGACTGAGTTAAACCGTAACGCCAACCACATGACAACCAGGCACAGCTGGAGACTGAGGCAAACCGTAACACCAACCACATGACAACCAGGCAGAGCTGGAGACTGAGGCAAACCGTAACATCAACCACATGACAACCAGGCTCAACTGGAGACTGAGGTAAACCATAACACCAACCACGGAGTTATGTGTTTAAAATTTCAAATGCTTTCTAAAAATGTGTTGACAAGATTAGGGAATTTGATTTTAAAAAACCAGAACGCTTAATTTGAGACACAGACAAAGGCATGAAAAAGTTTACGACTCAGCTTACCGGCCACCAGCCAATTCGATGGATGAACCAAACGCTAAATAAAGCAGGGATTCTCCCAAGCTCATACCCGGTGACGTTGATGAAACCAGTAAGAATAAAATGGTCAATGCCATGGACGTAGCCGTCGCTACAGCTTTTTTTCCCCAGGCGGAAATCAATAGGATCCAAGAAGATTCTGCTAGAGACAGTCGCCCACAGTCTGGAATCTCCTGTAAAAAAAATATAAAAAAATAATCCGTTTTATTTCAGATAATAGTTTTCAATTTGTCCCAACTGTCATGTCAGCTATATAAAAAGTGCTGCATTCAAAGAAGACTTGTGGCATCTTCACTAAGTAAACTTGACCAGCAATTCATTTACTTTTGGAGACTTTGTACGGTAAGACGCCCTATCACATTTTTTTTTTTTTTTAGAATATCAAATGTAAATTTTATGATTAAAATAAGCACCAAGCATCAGTTTTAATAGAGGTTTAACAGCTGGGAAGGTTATTGGAATATTTTGTTTATTAGATGATCCACTGAACGCAAGTTTGTTCAAGGGAAATTATTCCTCAAATTATTTTAGCAGATAAACATCTAAAAGTGATAAAAACAAAACAAAAAACCCGTGTCGCCTCAGAGAGCTATCGAAGGAAATGACGTCATGACTTAAGTTCACACACTGTAATAAAAAGTTTATACATGTGTTGTGGACCGGGGGGGGGGCTGTGGGGGCTGGGGTGGGGCGCCGCAATTTATAGGTGTGATGTTATTTAAGGGAAATACACGATTAGATATTAAGTCTGATCATTTCAGAGGTAATGTTATACGTCGCTGTGGACAAAAAACTCACTGGTTTAAGAAATAAAATAAATAAAAAAGGCATTTTTAATAGGGGCATTTATAATGCCACAATCTTAGCTTTAAAAGATTTGAACTCTTATTAATCTTACCAGGTTTTACGATGAGAAACAGGATAGCGATACCCGCAAGCAGGCCAGGTAATATCTGCATTTCCACAACGAACAGATCAGCAGGTCTCAACTGCCACGTCATTAAATTTGAAAACAAATAAAATAATTAGTAACGTGATAAATATATTAGTTTATAAACTTATTTCATAAAGGCCACATATGATTTGGAATTTAATAAACTTTAAATGGAAATATTTTTTTAAATAGGTAATTACGTATCTATGGCTGCCGTTTCTTGTTGTATTGAACAAGTAGTTGTTTGTTTTTTTAATTTAATTTAATTTTTACTTTTCAATTATGTCAAAACGTTTGTTATTTTATGTTAGAAAGTTCTAGATCAAATTTGTAAAAGAGCAGTAGAAGATCCATGAACTAACTCAACAATCTCACGAAAGTCGTCCGGAAAGAATTTTATTTGAAAATACCCGATGGAATGTTTGTTATTTTATGTTAGAAAGTTCTAGATCAAATTTGTAAAAGAGCAGTAGAAGATCCATGAACTAACTCAACAATCTCACGAAAGTCGTCCGGAAAGAATTTTATTTGAAAATACCCGATGGAAAAACCAGTCCACGTCAGATGAGCTGAAAGACAACCATCTACTGGACCTGGACAAGGATTTGATAAGAAAACGTGTTTAAAAAAAAAAAAAAAAGCATTATGTGACCAATGTAATACTAAAAATAGGACCACTGCAAAAAATTTTTTTTTTTTTTTTTTTTTTTGCATTTTAAAATGTTTTACTATAGTTAAAGGGTAGAGTTATGGTCGGAGGCTATACTTGCTCCGGGAAATCGTGGTAATCGCTCTTTTTATTTGAATTGTGCGGGGACTCAAAATTTGGGATTTGCTAAAAACCCAAAAAATTATCTGATACACCCCTGACGAACTAACAAAGCTTTTAACAAAAAAAAGGGTAAACATTTTGGTTAATGCTAAGAATGGATGTCATGACGTCATTTACGTGATTAATTCAAATTGCTGTGTTAGAGACACTTCCCTTTGTTTAATGTTAGAGAATTTTTTATTTTTTTTTATGTATTAGTACTCATACGCCGATGGCATTTCGTGTTATAAAAATTTTATTGTTTCATTAATTATAATTTTAAATTTCATTTGTTGGCTTATTATCATATTTTGTTAGTTCCGCCATGATTGAAAATACTTGTTCATCGCAGGCCTTGTATTTTTATTCATTTTGTGGATGCAATATTATTTTCCGTGAAATCTGAAATAAAGTGTGTAGAAGGGTCTTTTATAAAACTGCAAGTTGGGTTTTCACTATTTATTAATTTTTTTTTTATTAACTCTGGCCATTTTTTATTGACTTTGTTCATTATCATAGTTTTCTTGCTACAGTGAGTAAATTCCGCCAGTTTTTTTTATTGCGGCTTTAGGGCCAGTTTTAGGCTTAGGGTTAGGGTTAGGGATAGATTTGGGTCTCAAGTTAGGTTTAGGGATCGATTTAGGGATTTCAGGTTAGGGTCAAAACGCAGGGAAGGATTAGGGTCAAAGTTGGGTTTTCACTATTTATTAATTTTTTTAAATTAATTCTGGCCATTTTTTAAATTGATTTTGTTCATTTTCATAGTTTTCTTGCTACAGTGAGTAAATTCCAGGGAAGGAATAGGGTCAAAATCCAGATTAGGGATAGGGTCCAAACCCAGGTTAGATGTAAGGATAGATGTAGGGTTCAGGTTAGGTTTCGGGATACATTCAGGACATTTTTCCATAATTGTTAACGTTTTATTTTCTAACATTAGCAAACGTGAGGTTTTTTTTTTTAATTTTTTCCACGGCATCCATCTTGGTTTCCGCGACCCCTAAACCCGTCAAAGTTCACGGGTCGTGGCAACCAAGATGGCGGCCGTGTGGTACGTCACTGTGCCATCTAATCGCATTTACCCATTTTTTCTCCCTACTTTTTTGTTTTTTAGCACATGTATTTTGCACAATTTTCCTTGGGTGCTATCTTGGTTAACATGAACCGTGACTTCACGGGTCGTGTCAACCAAGATGGCAAACAAGTGGAAAAACAGGGCATCCATTATTTGCATTTACCAAAGTTTTAAGGCAATTTTAAATACTTTCAAATTTTCCTAAGGTTATTTGCTGTTTCTGTAGGTGATCCTTAAGTGTACGTAACATCCGGTTGATTGGATCAGATTTTTCGAAGAGCGATTTCCTGAATTAAAAATACTGTGAGTAGCTTGAATCTCATATTTAACATACTCATACACCCTTAATCTGAAAGGCATTATATATTAAGTGGGTTAATTGTGTATTCAATTTACTAAAATGTATGAAGATTTTTTAAAATCTGCTAAGTCTTAGGACATGAATATACTGTTCTTTCTCATTATTAAAAAAATATGATTTTAAATAAAACAGTCTTTTAAAAAAATAGCTATTTACAAAAGGCAAATTGATATTTGTGAACTGCGTAATGAACGGTGCGCATTGTTTACAATCTTTTTAGATAGAATATAGGTGCGCAGACTTTATTTTAAAGTCAATAGCAGACCAACGCTAAAATATAAAAGCTTTATTATAAACAAACGGGCTCTTAAAAACTATATATTATTATTTTATTTTTGTATAATTTAATATTTTCCAATGTAAAGAAAGCTAGGAACATAACACAAACTAAACATCCTTCACATGAAGAACTATTTGAAGTAAGCTGTTATTGTAAAACTAAATACATTGTGCATGATACATCCCACCCTCTTCATCACAGATACTTAGGATCTGCCAGTTCTGGACGAATTCTTTCTCTCAGGGCGAGGTTTGCAGACAAGAAAGACATTAAACAGGGGCCTGAAATAAATCTATGGTGTTACCACCTCCGGCTCTTCCCCTCTCCATAGCGCAGACGGTTCTACACTCATCAAAGACAAAGAGATAATCTTGGAAAGATGGATGGGACCCTATAATAATTTGCTGAAAACGCCTTTTTTCATTTAAAAAAATGAGGCCATTAATAGACTGCCTCAGATCAAACGAACGTTAGTGGACGCTGTCCCTACTATGGCCGAGATACAGACAGCCATCAGCCAACTGTCCGGTGGCAAAGTTCCTGGCTCCGACATGACTCCTATCGAAATCTACAAAAAGGGTGGACTAGAGCTGATGAATAAGCATCTAGTCCTGATCATCTGTGAAACGGAAACTGTAAGACACGACAACAAAGCTGCCTCGATTATCCACCTGTACAAACCCAAAGGAAACCGACAGGCTTGTGACAATCACCCCGGAATTTCTCTGATGTCCATCTTGGCCCAAACCCTACTGAGTCGCCTAAATGCACATCTGGAGCTAGGTCTTCTACCTGAAATTCAGTTTGGTTTCCGCTAAGAACGCGTGACTATCAAAATGGTGTTTGCTGCCAGCCAACTCCAAAAGAAATCTCAGGACCTATATTCTGCATGTATCGACCTAAAAAAGCCTTTTAAAAGGGTCAGTAGACGTGGCCTATGGAAAATCATGAAGAGGTACGGATGCCCAAACAAGTTCACCAACATCACCTGACAGTTCCAAGATGGCATGAAGACCTGAGAGCTGGACAACGGTCATTCATCTCAAACATTCCCTGTCACAAATGGTGTGAAGCAGGCTTGTGTCCAGGCTTGCACACAAATAAGTATTATGAATTCTGCAATGCTGTTTGATGCATTTAATGACTCCATCATGGACCTCCCAATCCGATTCCGCACCGACGGATTAGTCCTTAACCTTACGAGGGTTCAAGCTGACACCGAGATCAAACATAGCACCATCAACGAAGTTCTGTTTTGGGACAGTTGTACCATCAACGATGCCTCAGAAGCCGACATACAACACAGCGTTGATATCTTCTATGAGGCCCGCAAAAATGTTGGCCTCACAATCAACACAAATTAGACTGAAGTGATGTATAAGCCAGTCCCCGTATTTCAGCTCCATAAGGCAGAACACGTAGCCCGTATGGAAGACCAACAGCTCCCCAACCAGCTAGTCTTCGGTGAAGAAATCGGTACAAAAACACACTGAAAGAAGTACATACGGACTTCATCATCAACACCATTTAATGGGTGCAAACAGCTCTGGATAAAGCCAAATGGAGATGAGCTGTCAAGAAGGGAGCTTAATCTCATGAAGCCAGCAGGATAGTGACACCTGAACAACTCAGGCTAGCCCGAAATGCTTACCTTAGACCACCGACTGCAGCAATATCTCTTGCCTTCCGTGATGGAGACTATCCCGAGCATGAATCGGACTGGCAAACCACTATACACTCACCGTCACCCAACCCACCCTGAACCGGATGAGAAGATAGTCTTTGTTGTTTTGGATGGACGTACAACATTTCGTACTTATTTAGGGTACTGTCATGTGTATTTCACAATTTTTTTTTAAAAATAAGTATTCCAACCATTCCTTTGTATTGAAATTTTCGTTCTGTTATTGATTTACCTAAAGTGTCTTTAACCCGTCTCTTTGCTTCATATAATATCTTCCTGATAACTTCCTTCTTATTGCTTCTTGTGCTGTTGACGCTAGACCATGGGTATCAAACTCAATCGCTCGACGGTCCAAAACTTAAATCAATGTAAGTTTTCTGGCCGATCAGGATAAAAGTACAAAAGCTGAAAACTATTTTGAAAAAAACAACAACATTTATAGAAATAAAACAGAAATAAACATTTATATAAATAAAACAGAAAAAAAGTTTAAACATTCAAAATCATTGGCACACCCATTTTCGTTGTTATGACAATTTGTCAGAGCTGGATTTTTTTCACATTTTCTTAGTTACAAAAACAAGTGAGTTCGTTTATCTTGGGAGTAACGTTCTGCGTCATTGAGATTCTCATGATGGACTGCAAGTTTTCATCAATGAGATGACTCCTGTGTGATGTTTTGTTAATCTTTATCACAGAAAACCGCTGCCCACACAAATATGGGCTACCCAACATGCTCAATGGTTCGAGCCGCATGTAGACGAATTTTAGGCATCACTCCAGGAATGAAACGAGTGAACTGTGCAGGCCCACCTGTGTCGAATTTTGCCTTTAGTGTCCCATTACACTGCAGCTCTATTAGCTCCATCAGCAAATTTACAGATGCAGTTTCCAAATCTATGAAAAATTGTTTACGAAACAGCTCAAAATGACATCTCTGTGCTTTAAAGTCACTAAAGCGCCGTGCGAACTCGGGAGAAAGTAAGCTAATTTTTTTAAGCAAAGTGTGCATTGGAAAAGAACACAACTTTGACTATAATTGTACGCCGCTAAAGATCTCGCGGGCCTGATATATACTTGTACAGCGGGCCGGATGTATGCACTTTCATCCCTTTTTATGCTGTTCTTTGCCATTTGATTTACTCCTTTATATTTCTCTTGTGCTTTTGTTTTCTCAGCTATGGTCTGTCTGTTGCTATTGGTGATCAATTAAAGATTAGTTACTGGTTAGTCCTGAATTCTCAAATCTCACAAACTTCAATAAGTTTCGTACGCACTACGAAGTTTGAACTCTTAAAAAAGCAATGTCTTATGTTTCTACTTTCAAGATTTATCAAATATTTTACGACTTACTTGGGGCGAATAATTAGAAACAGAGCAATAGTTAAAATTAAATAATAAATATTCAACATTATATCTGATTTGATAACCTCATTGTTTTCTTCTATATTATAATTGAAAGAGACAAGAATAAAAAAAGAAAGTTTAAAAACTGAAATTTATAATTTTAAAACAAAACGTATTGAATCCTTTTAACGGGTAAAACTCTTGAATTCTTAAGGTGCGCGAAGACGTATATTTTGTTTTCCTGTTACGTATTTTCACCCCTTGCAACTTAAACTTTTCTTTGATAATTTTTACTTAGGAGCAGTTTTCACATTAGTTTTAAGACTCCTTATTTTCAATTATGCAATAAAGATGTCGTCTATAGTCATCGAAATGAACATTTTCACTTCTTTTCTTATCCCTATGATCATTATGAACGCGTTAAATTTCATACTGTCTCGTCTATAATCGTGAAACCAAATCCACGCATAATCCGAGACTTGAACTTTTTGTTTGAAATAAATGTATCAAATGTTATGTTCAAAGATACAGCGATCAGATGTGAATTATCCGTTTTATTTTAAGGTTAGGGTCATATCCAGAAAGTTGACAGATTGTCCAGAGATTTTGGAAGTAAAATTAAACTATGGGTGGAATGAGTTCAGAAAATCAATGGCATCCATTAGTTTCCATGGGGTTGATGACAATGGAATCATCAATGTATCTCTTATTAAATTATCGAATATGGCCAGTATATGCCAGCTCTACCATGTATTCAATATGGCCAGTATATGCCAGCTCTACCATGTATTCAATATGGCCAATAATAAGCCCAACATAACTAGGTCCCATTTTGAAACCATGAGCACGCTACTATTTTGGTCAAAGAAATGACCATCGGATTGAAAAGCTTTAACGGTGAGTAACAGTTCAGTAAGTGCCATTAGGGATGGAGTGATATGGTTTGTTTTCAAAGACAAATCTCAAAGCCCTTATCCGTTCTTAGGTTAATGTGACGTGTATAAGCAGCAGACATCCGGTAACAAAATAGTAAGTGTTTGGTTTCATGGATATTGTTTAGGGAATTAATGTGTTTAAAACGTGGTCAGTGTTTCTTTCAGAAATTTTCCCCCGTGGGGGGCACTTAAGATTTTCGGAGAGGGGAGGGGTGGGTCTATGCCAGTTGCCAGTTGCCAGTAGCCAAAGGCGTAGCTAAGGGGTGGCAAATGGAACATACGTCCCGGGGCGCCAGTCTTGCGAAGGGGCAAAAATGGGCTTTGATGGAATTAATTGGTTGAAAAAAAACAGGTTTCAGAGTTGGAAAGGGGCGTAAAAATGAATCTTGTCCCCTGACGCCACACACTGTAGATACGCCACTGCTAGTGGCATCGATATAGGGGCGGATGGAGTGGTCCCCTCCAGGTGTCACTTTTTCTTTATATGCTTGTGTGGCACTTTTGGAGAACTGCAGCGTTTGAATCGTGGGAGGGAGGATGGCAAAAATATCAGCCTTAATAGTAGCTACGCCACTAGGCAGTGTATCTATCGATACCAATATTGGCGATCATTTTCATCGAGAAGTAGGACGGAAATCGATGGCGCCGATGAATCTGGATCGGTGGAGGAGCTTTGGGGAGCCTGCGCCACAGAAAATGTTTGAATATTTCAAAATCAAGAGGTGTATTTTTGAGTATACTTGAATTTGATGTTTCTATTAATAAGTATACCTTTTAAACAGGGAATAATTTTTTTTAAGTTTTGTGGGAGGCCTTATTCAGCCCAGTGCCATATATAAACGGAATTCACCATTCCGTTTGTTGCATGCGCCGGGGTAATCATTAGGGATAGGCTTATAATCAACCACATAGTGTCCCATTGATAAGAGTGATGGAAGGGGTGCATAATTAAGGGCGCTAAAGACAGTCGTCCAAACTCAAAATGCAAGGGTGCATTATTTTGGCGCATACTTTAATTTGTTGTTTCTTTCTGACAATTTTGAGGTGGCATTTCCAACGTTCGGGTAGAAAATGGCAAAATTAGCCACAATAATGACCAAAGACATCTTAAATTTCGCACCAGTGGGACGTCAACTATATTCACTCGAGTTATGTCCCCCTTGAAAGTACGATATTGACTTTAAATTATTTCTCCCCCTTTAAATCCTTATAGTCCCCTGAACATGTTCGATCAATCCAAACTACAATATTGCATTTTTCATATACCTGAATTTAGTTTCGCAACATTCCACACTTAATTGGAGAGCAACGCAAGATATCCTAGTTAAAAATGTAGATGCCACTTAACCTTAGAACCATCGTTTGCGCCCATCAATCCTTACGACTGAAGGGTGCCTCGGATATTTTAGAAACTTAAATATGTGATGAGGATACATTCTTAATTATCATCTTCCTATACAGTGTGGTCAAAACGGAATTAGCATGACTTTCTTGTGTTCTCCCAAAAAAATTATTTTTTTTAAATTAAAGAATTACTTTACAACCCCCCCCCCCCCC